GTAGTACACCTACTTTGTAATTTATATACGTATATACATACAAATGTACTACATATGTACATACATCCATATGTATGTATATAAAGAATTTAGTTACACGACACTAAGTACGGTGATTGTGCGTTTTGCCACTGGGATGCCATTATAAAAGGTAAAATAATCTAATTTTATTGATCGGGGCTACGAATCGAGTATGAACCGAACCGGGGTTTGAACCGAACCGCCGCTTTTTTCGTGCTTCGAGCCGAATCACAGGGTTCGAATGAAAGTAAAGGAGAAGGAAAGGATAAAAGCAAAGGGAAAAATTCAAAAAAAAAAACCACAAAGATAAAGGCAAAAATGAAGATCAAGGTAAACTTAAACACTTTACTAACATAAGGGCAAAGCTGAAGGGGAGTATGTAGATGAAGAAAATAATAAACATTAAGGTAAAAATAAAGATAAATATGAAGGATAAGATGAGGATGATAAAAGTAAATATAAAGATAGAGCTAGCAAGATTACGATAAAGGTAATTATAGAGAAAATTTCCACATTGGTAGAGGCACAGATACTCAGTTTGGGAACTAATTCGGGATATTAAAGATTTGCAGGACTAAATCAGGATGTTCAAGGCTATTTCGGGATTCTCAGGACCATTCATCATATACGAGACTATTTCGGATTTTTCGTTGTATTTATCGAACTTGTTATCGAAAATGTTTTTATATATTTATCGACAAAATAATCGATATCGTTATAGATATATTTATGAATAATTTTATCGATATTGTTATTGATATATTAGCGTAGCAATTGTCTGAATTCCCCTGCGAGGCACTTGAGAAAAATATGAGGGTGGTTCTAAAAGGGTATGACTTTAACATGCTAAAAATCTCCCATCATGCCCGTCGTTTCACATGGTGCAGAACTGTGTACTATGTCGAACAAAGGATTTGTTGAGTTCCGAGAAAACAATTCTATGTTAGTCCGAATTCGCGTGGATGTAAAGAAAACTATTAAAACAAGGTCAACCACAAACATATGTACGTTTATATGTTTATGCTGAACTGTATGCTGAAGGTGAGTCCCTAACCCTGAAGGCCCAGTATGCATATGTATGTATATAACTTCAGCTTCCATAAAAAAACATAAACTAAAACCTCGAAAAAACGATCAATCCAGCCCTTTCGTCTTGACCTACGGGCTGAGTCGAAGCCAAAGCCCCTAATCTTAAACGTAGAATATGTAATTTGAGTTGAATTTAATTTTTAAAACAGGTCGGGCAACCCTCCTACATATAATTTGGAAATAAAGTTTCTTCAAAGCAATTTTGATTGATATCCATATTGAAGTTATTTATTTAACCTATTGCATATATTCAATTTAACTTTGTAAACAGGTGGCAACCCTCCTACATGTAATTGAGAAATTAAACCATTTCGGTCGGTAAAAATAGATCATAAATAAATTACTACAATATTTGAAATATATATTTTATCAGGTGGCAACTCTGTTTGAAAAAAATCAAACGTTATTGTACATCTACAGGCCAAGACCTTTGATTGGATACCTTGATCTGAAAAGACAAAAAAGTTTTCGCGTGTTATGCATTGATAGTTTGCTAAAAGTGAAACAGATCCACAGTAACTGCAATCAACATACATATATACGTATGTATGTTATAAATATTTCTCCGGAGCAGCGCCATCTGTTAATTAAAAGCCGCAATACACACACGTTCTTTTTGTCCCTTCTCTCACTTCCAGCGCATGCACGTGTGTGCAAAATGATGACGAAGTGATATTGTATGGAAAATCATTTATGCCCATACATATATGTATTTGAATCAAATAAACATACTACTTAGAAGATATCAACCAATACTTCAAAATTTGAAATACACCACCCAAAAGTCAAAAACTGGAATATTTACTAAAGAAATCAAAAACAAAATCATTGAAGCGGTTTTCGAGCATTTTGGTAATAAAACAAAATTAGTTAATTTTTTTCAAAAATTTTAGCCCTTAAATGCTCAATTTTTTGTCGTATCTATATAAAAATTTATACACCATAATATTTCTATTGATTTAAAGAATTTATATTCCGAAAATTAAAGTTATATCTGCGAAACTTAAGTTGCTAAAGCACTTTAAAGGCTCAAACTTTACCCCAAAATAAGACAAAACTTATGATCACTTACAAAAATGAGTGCGTCAGTACATTTGGAATTTGACCTTTGAAACGCCGCTTTTTCTTTAAAATCGCTTCATTAGTTCTCGTGCTATTAGAGTGTTTGTGCAGCTCTGAAAATTACAAACTACAACTTTTTAGCATAGCATCCATATCGAAACGTAAGACGTATTCGACGTAAAAAGACCAACTTAAAGTATATCGTTCCTGAGGCGAAAAACAATCCTTGGATCAAAAAGACAAAACTTTAGGTATTTCCTCGTTGCGCAGTCTTTAACAGAACTGTTAAATATAACAGTCCAATACATCTCGGAAGCACTCAATATCCATTTGGGAGGCTAATAAGAATAATTTTTAACGAAACTCAGAACAGTTGAGTGGATTACCCAACTACGGTTTCACTCACTTCGTCCCCTCTCACGCATACTATAATGCAATACCGATATTGATATGTGGCTCCGCCTCTTTTCGCTCACCTAACACACACACAACAAAACCATAGCGCTCTTTCACTCAAATCTAAGCATATACATACATATATTTCACGTCAGCGTATATGAAAGGATTTGTGTGTTGGTGCTTGTCTCTGCACAAGCGTTCGGGTGGCTGTGCAATGTCGCTTGGTCTGAACTGGGTGTTGGGGGTGCCACTGCGGCCCTGGGGCAAGTACGCCCCATACATTTCACGTCTGGCGGGGAGCAGTTTAGAATTGACTTTGGAGCAAAAGTGATGGCGCTAATGTGAATGATTGTGCCACTTACAATTTCCCTTCATACATTCGCTTGTTTTAAAAGAAAAGTTGTAGCAGTTTTAAAGGAATAAGTCGATATGAATATGATGCATTGAAAGTTGTTCCTCGCGACATTCGAATTTTTAAATTAGGTGCCTAGAAGCGCGCAAAGATATCGTTTAAAGTAGGCACCGGTCGCAAGATTCTACAAAAGGTCTGCATATTAGCTGTTTTCTTCGATCGATAATTTTGTTCGCCGCCGCTCCGCCGATTTTAAATTTGCAATTTTATACGATTTTGGGGTCCTATGGTTTTTGGCAGTTTCTTCACTTTTGTGAGAGCATTTCGTAGGTATGTACTTAAGCTCAGCTTCCCAAACCTAGCTCGAAAATGTAAAAAAACAGACTCAGAGAAATGAGAATGTTCAAATCGGTGTTTGCTGCGACGAAATTGTATTTAGAGAGCAAAATTTTCAACCAATCGTCGAAGAGAAAAAATCATTTAAATTTTTACTATTCAAAACAAAGCGACTTTACTTTAAATTACCAACTGCTACATCTTCTGCAAATTAGTTCACTAAATATGCGTCAATTACAAATTAATTGAAGTGATAAGATCGCAGCGGCAGCATTCCATTCTTTCCCCTAACAAATCTTTTCTAGAGGTCACTAAGAACAAAAGTGCTGCTACCAATTTGATCCTCAAAATAAAATGCTTTTTGTTTTTCTGGTCTTTTGTTTTTTTTTTTGCTTTCTTTTTCCATTAAATTTCCTGCTTTTGAATGCGGTTAAAATTCCGCAGCATCACATCAACCCCATCACAACCCTACCGTTCAACCCCTGCCCTCGACCTCATTTAAGCCGTTATAGGTACATATACCGCGTTTGCTTGAGATGCTGTTGCAATTTTGAGATGGAAAAAACCCCTTCTCTTCACAAAAGTCGGCATGACGATTTCTCGCATTTTCTCCTTTTTCTAAATGCATTTGTAGTTGCTTGATAATATTTGTTATTTTTTTTTCTTTATTGTTTGTGTTTTGCCCTTTTATGATCTTGATGGTCATGATCTCGTTTAGCAGCTTTCTGCGATCGCTTCATACGAAGAGTTGTGAAGTATTTGACACTTTTGCCCCGAATTACTTAAATTTCATGAATACCTTGAAGAGTTTTTGTGCACAGACAAAAGTGTGTTTATTGTGACAACGTTAAAAAGAGAAGGGTTCAAAGGGTGAACATCTGTGGTCCAGTTGGAATCTGCCGTTAGTTAGTGGTACCTACAAACTTAATAAATGCATTTTGACAACTTTTAATGAACTTTCGACATTTTGATGGACATTTTGCCGTTAGGGTTACAGGTTTTGGGTGCGCAGATAAATTGAAGAAGCTTTTCAAAGTTGCGAAAGCCGCTTTCTTTTTCTAACCTTTCTAAAAGGTAAAGACATTTGCTTAGACGGAGAAATGCTGTTATCGTGAGAAAATTTTACAAGTTGGCTAAAGATTTTCGTTGTTTTACTTATTCAGGGACGGAAAATAATGATTACATACTTTTAAAATTTTAACGGAATCTTATACGATTTGATAGTTTTTGAGCGATGTCTATCAAAATTATAAATATTTAATAACTAAATTTATATTTTTATTAGTCCCTCAAAAATAGAGTCATATCTATCCTTTTTTATCAAAAACAGATAATTTTTCGAGTGTTATGTTTTCGCTCTGAAACACTTTTTACAATAATGAACTTAAAGCAATTTTATAAAGTAGACAAACTTCAAGAAATAACTAAATGATGGCCGCCGATATGAGCGAATGGTTGTTTGCCTTTTGGCTATATGTATATATGTCTTTTGTTTCATAAATGTTTAATACAATTTTATAAAAGTATAGCCAGTTTACAACAAATACCACATAAATCCATACTTAAACTTTGTCTAAAGTTTTTTCAAAATTTAACAAAATTTCAAAGTTGTAGCTACAAAGTACCGTTGGTTTTTAATATTTTTTTTTTTTCTGGCGGTTTCACACATTTTTAGTGTGCATTTGTACAGATCAATATACATACATGTTTGTGTGTGTTGTCACCGATCTGCATGCTTGGTATACATACCCAGTACGTCATAGCCCAACCAATTACCTCAGAAAAATTAGTTTATTTCTACTTAAGCAGCAACTGACTTCAAATTGTTGTATAATCAGGTAGCAGCCTCGTTGAGATAAACCAAAGGCTTACACTTTCGATACATATCTTTGCAAATAATTCAATATTAGTCGAAAAATCATCTAAATTTGGACACTTAACTATTTTAGCATTTAATACTAAGAATGTGTTTCGTAAAATAAACGTAAGATTTCGTAAATTGTACTGAAAAAATGCCTTACGAAAGCCCATTCGTTATATTAACGAATGGTTCGTAAAATCTTGTTTCGTTGTGAAAAATGTGTTCGTATTATGAACGGCCGCTGTGGTGTAGTGGTAAGCAGTGCGCGCTTCCACTCCGCAACGCCTGGGTTCAAACCCTGGTTAAAGCATCATCACAAAAATATAGAAAAAAGGTTTTTTCTTAACAGCGGTCGTCCCGCGGCAGGCAATGGCAAACCTCCGAGTGTATTTCTGCCATGAAAAATAACTTCTCATAAAAATACAATCGCCGTTCGGAGTCGCCGTAAAACTGTAGGTCCCTCCGCTTTGTGTGATAACATCAAGGCGCACGCCACAAATCGGAGGAGAAGCTCGGCCAAACACTAACATATGTGTAAGCGCCAATCTATTAGACTACGAAAGTTTTTCGTTGCTCTTTTACGAAATTTTATTTTCAGTGTGCATATTGGGTTTCTTTGAACTAATGATACTCCCCCATTTTGAAATTGTTACAAGGGCGATTCACCATCAGAGGATCAGATAATTGTTGCCACAAGAACTTCCTCACGGACATAACGCTTTCATAATGTTATTTAAGACGGCAATGGCAAGGATATGCCTTCTGACGACAACAAAACCAAACGTGAACGTGAACTGTTGGTAAAAACGTTGGACCAAATGTTTAAATAAAAAAGTAATTTTGGGCGGGACGAGGTCTGCCGGGTCTGCTAGAATTAACAAAAGAACCGATTTGGTTTTTTTAACTCGTAACTTGAATTCCAGTTCTGCTTGGATACAAAAATTTAAAACCAAAGGTTAGTCTCTACGGGAAGGCATTGGTGTTATGGAAGAGATTATAAATAATTAACTCAAATGGAGGGTCAAAAATATTTGAAAACAATTAAATTCACTCCAATCCTTGAAATAAACTGAGTAAAAAACAAAACATTAAACACTACTTAGATTTTTTGTTGTTTTTCGAACATATTTGGAAGCATATTTACTAGAGTCCGACCGATTCTAAATTTTTTCAGGTACCGATGCCGATGCCGATTAATCGGCTTATGGGGAAAGAATCGGTCGATGCCGATGCCGATTCCATAAAAAATTACAAATAAATGTATTGTTTTATAAAATCAGTTAATTTAACGCAGGTAACAAAGCAAAAGAAAACAAATAATTGAATTAATTGGCTTGTTATGCAACTGTACTGCAACCTTGTACAAACCTTGTATATTTTGCGACTTGTGCCAAAATATTTCGGAAAAATATTAAGATTTACGTGAGCTGGACCGGTTTGAAAATACCTCTAAAAATGGATTTTTTTTATGAATAAAAATAGTTTCTTAAAGGATTTTTTGGAAAAATTCCCCTCAGATGACAAAACAGTTTAAGCTTAAAAATCTACATAATATTGAAAAATTGTATCAACGGAATCATAATAATGAGATTTTTGATGCTGTTTTTTTTTTGAACTTTTTTCAAAGGTTTGTGTAAGAAAAACTTGAATAAATGCTCCAAAACTTTACCGATATAGACTTATGAGGCATCAGTGGAAAGGTATTTTCTCACCCTTTTTATTTCTTTGCAAAAAAACTGGTGGACTACATCTTTCTTCTGTATCATATCAACTTTTGGACTTACATGAAACAATATTTAACTACATACGTTTAAAATGTACCTAAAATAATGTGCTGGTGCCGAATGTACGCTTAAATTTAAGACGCTGAAGAGTAGGTACAATTCTACCTAGTTTTACATCACTAGTTCGCTTCTTCCTCAAAGTTCTTCTTTACACTCTCATTCTCATAATAATGGGACGTCACACCCAGTTTCTCTCAGCTCGATTGGAGGAATCTTGTATTCTATCATTCTTGGTTCTGATTATATCTGTAGTCATAAGCAATAACCGCCTAAGTCGGAAAATCTGAATCCGAGAAAAAGCGTTTTAAACATTTGCAAAGTTAGACTTATGGGGAAACCAAAATATTTTCGCCTATAATAATAATTTTTATATCATTTTTTGAAGTAAATCACCAATATGATTGAGTAAAAATCAGTAAGTATCATTAAAAGCACCAATCAGCTGTTACGTATGTACATACATATGTAACATAATTTATCAGACTAACAAAAGTAAGCTGAAAAATACGTTCACAGTTGATAAAATTATCGAGTAACAACCAGCAGTTTACCAAAACTACCGAAATGGATGTGAAGACCCCTAAATTTTAAATTTATTGCATAAATTTTTTGAATTATAAATTGATTATGAAATGCATAGAAAGAAACTGCGTACGCCCATGGTCACCGTAGTGATACCACTTCGTGACATTGAGCCTATTTTTTGAATGATTTCTTCTTTTTTCCTTTTGAAAAAATTATCTAACGCCAACATAAGTTCCTAACGCATTTTTGATGCCAGCTATATCATAAGCTGCATTCACGACTGAGTTGAAACTATGTGGAGCACATTGCTCCTAAGTTCCTAACGCATTTTTGATGCCATAAGCTGCATTCACGACTGAGTTAAAACTATGTGGAGCACAGTGCCCATAAATGGTAAGAGGAAAATCTGATTGTATGTACGCTTGGGGTCGGGGTATTCACCACTAATCGCTGGAGCTGCATCCTTGGCCATAAGGATAGGAGCAATCCATACCTACTTCCGAGAGATACTTCTTCTTCTTCTTCTTCTTGATAACCATCATATAACCAAATAGTTGATAAAATTAGAAATCCCAACCCTCCCTCCTAGCTCCTAGTGCCGCTACTGACGAGTACATATGTACATATGCAATTAAATTAAAAGAATGTTGATGGTATTTATGTGCATATATGTATAAGTTTGCTTCGTAGTTCCTATGCATAGATACATATGTGTAGATATACATAAGAACGTACATGCGTCAAAACTAATTGTTAAGTTATAACATACATATGTATGTATGTATATACATATATCGCAAATACATATTTGCCGTTAACATAAACGATTTTCTTATTTATGTATACCTCCAGGACCTTCCTGCCGCTCAGAACAATGAAATTTTGAAGTAGATCTCAATTTTCGTTACGAAAACTTCCAAGACCTTTCAATAATGAACACAAGCAATATACAAAAACAATTTCCAAAAAAAAAACAAAAACAAAAGAAAACGGTAAAAGTGACTTGTTGGAGGTCAAAGATCAACATGTAAGCAACAGAAGCCTGATCGCAGTCCAAAATGGATCAGCGAAAGCCAGAAAAAGTCCAAGGGATGCAGTTCCACAATCATTAACAGCACAAATCCAATGACACCAATAACAATGCACCAAACAATATTTACAGTTCATGCAACTGCGTGCGGCTATACAAAATTTATGCCAGTACATACATACATATGTATGTATATGTATATGTTCTATGTACATTTTCATTAAAATAGAAAAAAAAACGCAATTTTCCAAGCCAGCGATTTTGGCTCTTTCCTGCAAGCAGCACTGCCACCTAGAGTTTGTGTAAATATGCAAAATTGCAATTGCAACAAAGGAGGAGGGTTGTGGGGACATTTTTGACTTAACGCTTCCTCTCAATATTTCGCCTTCACGTCACACGTTCCGCTTAACAAACAGTTTTTTTTCGCATGATTTTTGTCCGATTTTTCTAATTCTGGAATGTTCACGCAATCGAGACTCCGTTGCATTTTCGAGTAATTCGCACCAATTTTATAATGACTTTTTTGACGTAATGTAACGACTTTTTTGGCGTTGTTATCGTGTTTTGCTTGGGTATTTTGTTATTGTTGTTGATATTGTTGGGATGATAGTGCGAAAATGGAATTTGTTTGTGCAGTCGATACGGTTGATACATACTAAGTACATATGTACATAGGTGTGTACATACATATAATACATATCTATACACATACATACATACATGTAGATGTGTGTATGTACTTTTCGCTGATTTTACTGAAAATGACCGTAGATTGTGTTGTCATGTTTGCTGGGTTGATTTTTGGTGGTGAACGTTGGTTGTAAATCTGCTGTTGCCCAGTTTCCTGGTCCTCTTGTTAATTGTAAAAATTATCTGTTGCTGTGACTAATTCGAATTTTATGACTGCACCGATTCAGTTTCCTACTTTCGGCAAAATAAACGTTTTTTTTTTTTTAAATAAATATACCTACACATCTACATACTACATACATACATATGTATGTAGATACATATGTATCTATTATGTACTTTGCATTAAAATTTATAAAAGCGAATGTAAAATGCGATCCAGGCTATTTTCTTGTTGAGAAAATTGCATTACTGAGCTCGAAATTGCAATGGTATAAACTTAAAAATGCATATCGCTTATTTATTAAAATCCCGCCACAAAAAGAATGAGGTTAATGTTAAGGGTATACTGATTTCAAAAAAATCTGCTCAAAATGAGACTTCATTGCACGATCAAATTTGCCCAATACATATCGTCGCCTGGGTAAAATATTGTCGTAGATAAGCGCAGTTTTGACGATTTTTCGTTCTAGATGCAGTTATATATTTTTTTGATTGGTGTTATCAGTTTTTAGATATCTCCTCTAGTTTTCGAGATATTGACTGAATTTTTTTCCATAATTTAGCAAAAATTTAGTTAGTGATGCAGTCATATTAAGCTAATCTATATCTTCAAAATAGCGTTCTCCATTTTTGAGTATCTCCTTTAGTTTGCGAGATATTGAGTAAAAAGTGTCGTCAATTTAGTAGAAATGTTGATCAC